ACCTTAAAACCAACACAAATTTTCTATCAATAAAACATGCAATTTTCGAAGGTGGTCCACTCACAAATACTCCGTCAAAAGCTGCGCCACTAGCGAAGACAGAAACGTTGCGATGATTGCCCCTAAGTACAAGAACGTACAGTTAATCAAACTACCCAACAATATAATTCTAGGAAATGGAAATGGGCCTTGGATTTGGATAGGTTAGGATCAAGAGGTGGTTTGGGCTTGAGCCCAACCCATACTTATCAACACACACACACATGCAAAGCATGCACTGCTCACACACACTCACAGTTGGCATACACACACACGGACACACACACACACTTGTACACACACACACCTACGAACTCGTCGGAGTTCGTCGTCGGAACCGGGTTTTTGGCATAGAGAAAAGGTAAGGTCAAAACCCTCGATTTTGACCTTAAAACCAACACAAATAACATGATTAACCCCAGAAATTTGAAAAAGGAACACAATCTTTACCTGGGTTGGAGTTTTAGAGCTTTGAAGCTCTCGGCTTCAATGACAGAAAAACCCACGGTGCTCAGATGGCGCATGCAAAGGTACCATTGAGTTCGTTAGGTCTCAAGGATTCCAAATATATGGTTTTTGGGGTTTGATTTGTGAAGGAAGTGAGGTGAAAGTTAGAGAGAATCTCTCGGAGCTTAGAGAGTGTGAGAGTTTTTTAGAGTTAGAGAGAGAAGAAACAGAAAAAGAGAGAGGTTCTGAGATGTGTTTCGGGAAGAGAGGGAAGAAGGGAGAGATCTGAGAGCTGCCACATGGCAGTCTAAGAGAGACAACATTTCTAGATCAAAGGTTAGGATTAAAAGAGAATAAGGGACTAAATTGATAGATAACAAATATGTTCTAGGGGAAAAATAGAAATAAGATGAAAAATGGGGGTGGGGTTTAACAATCTACCCCCTTAAAGAAAATTTCGTCCTCGAAATTTAAAATCACTTACTAAACTGAAATACTCGAAAATAGGAAGAAGAAAAATATATAAATATGTACGTAACGAAGAAATCAAGTCAGAGCGGTTGCACAAAAGGGAAAATGTCATCCCGTCGCGATCGGGTTACAATGATTCCATCTTTCGTGCCTCCATGCCCATACTTTCTTTCTCCATCAGTGTACAAGTAGAAACATACTTTATAAAGATATAAAGTTGAAGACAAAGAATAGCTTAAGGTTAAAAGCAAGTACTCAAAATACGATAACGTCAAAATGGACAAGTACTAACATGTAGATCAAAAACTCGTGTTGAACTTAAAACTGAAAACAGAAATACTTTCCCCAAAACATTTGTAACTTCGAAAATAAATAACTAATAACGGAAGTTAAAATATTTATACTGAAAATCCAAAATCGGAAATGAAAGTGGGTCTTGCCCAAGAATTCGAAATGTCACGTACTCCGAGAATAGATGTGTCTTTGGGTCGAGCCCCAAGACTAACAAATCCGCAACAACTATCGTAGACGGGTCTTCTTGCCCACTTGCTTAATGAACCCAACAAATAAGCTATCGATATCACAGTCTGCAGCCCGTAATATCGACCTCACATTTGTTGTCTCGATAAGCAAGTAGTAATTTCCTAAGGATGAATAATTTCACACGTCATAAATTCGATCCTCCCGAATATCAGTTCACAATATTCCTTTGTCAGCCAATGTTGCCTGTGAAAAACTCTCATACCATGTCGTAAAAAGTGCCAAACACCATACCGAACAAAACAGAAATTGTAGTCGTAACACTCTATCCAGCACCAAGCATCAAATTCACTTCAGTTCTTCCAAATGTGACTAACTATTCCAGTGTTTTGCCAACAACGAACCCATTTGAAAACTATACCTTGTTTGTCATTTTTAGTTGTTACTTGTTTGATTTCTTTTGGTATGGATTTTTGGTAACCAAGATACATTTTCATTGATTTTTGTAGAAAAGGAACATTTAAGCAGAAAATTACAATAGGGAGCCTTCACAAAGGCTGCTTAGGAAAAGTCTCAGTATTTGGCGGAGCCTCAGCAGTCGGCGGAGCCCCAGAAGGAGGAGGCAGCGGAGGTTGATCATTTGGAGCTTCAGTATGCGGTACAGCCCCAAAAGACGAAGGCAAATGCTGTTGGAACAAACCCACGAACCTCTGATGATCAAGTAAGATCTGACCATCAGATTCCTGCATCTGGTCAATTTTCCTTTTCATGTTTGTGGCATAGTTGTGTGCGAGCTTGTGCAGCTGTTTATTCTCATGCTTGAGCCCTCTAATCTCCTGTTTGAGACTAATCACTTCTGCCGCCAACGATTCAACTTGACGGGTTCGAGCAAATAGGCGTTGGGCCATGTTGGACACTGAACCCGCACACTGCACACTAAGAGCCAGAGACTCCTTAACAGCCAACTCATCAGACCGTCTGGCAAGTAGTCTGTTATCTTTGGGAGTGACAAGGTTCCTGGCCACCACCGCAGCTGTCATATCATTCTTCATCACCGAATCCCCAACGGTAAGAGGACCAGTAGGGGATATGAAGGATGGGCGCCATATGTTGTCTGGAGAAGGCGGAGCTGCCTCTTCACCAAGGTTCAAGTCAAATCGACGGTCGGAAGGGCCAGACATTTTCAGAGGTGTTAAAGAAAGAAGAGGTCGGACAAGTCAAGATCGTAGAAGTGCAAGAAGGGAGTTTTTTTTTTTTTACAGGCAGAAATTCAAGTGTACTTTGAACGTCCTGCGTACCTCTATAAAAAAAAACACGCGATGGGATTTCAGAGATCGAAGAGGCGAGCTCAGAAATCGAAGAGGCCAACTCAAAAAATCAAAGAAGCGCTAACTTTCTCAAAAGCTGGGTTTGCTTAGAAACCACGGCCAATCTTCTTTTTCAGAGATCGAAGAGGCGCCAGCTTTTCTCAAAAGTTGGGCTTGCTCACAAACCACCGATTCCAGATATCGAAGCGCCGATTCCAACCATCTGTCTCTCTCAGCCTCGTCAGCTTTGAGGAAATCACGGGCAATCTGTCGACAATTTCTGTTGAAGTAGAAAACACGTGAAGTTTACTGTACAATCATCCAACGGTTGCCGACAGGAATGAAAGAACAGTACCGGTCATTATTTCCTATAAATGTCGACCTTCACCCTCCATGGCAAGGCAGACATACATAACATTCCGTCATCTCTGAGAATGAATTCCCATCGAACCCTCTCGAGTCACTCAGTGTTCCTCATCCCCTGGGATACCTCTGCAAACAAATCTTCAAGAGCAAAAGTATTTCATATCATGAAGGTAGAGAGCAAGAGTATCTCATATCATGCATTCTCCATGTCCTTTTCCTTGTCTTTGTTCTAACCTGCAGGACATGGAGAAATTGCTCTCGAGTACTCATCTTCCACTGCTGATGTACTTCCAAAGAAGCTGCCACATCTACTTGGAGAACAAATAAGGAATTGAGCCTGCACAATCAACTCGAGAGCAGAAGGAAAATGAAGATACAAAACTAAAAGTCACTGTTTATGATTATTTTGCAAATCATCACAGTATGGTCAACTGGTTTCTTAGCCAAAAAGGAATTAGGTCTAAGCTCAAGAATAGTTAAGAACTGATAATAAGATTGGACGAGGCCAAAAATATTTCGAAATTCATAATACTTTGTGAGAGCCATTTCAAATTTAGAAATTAAACATAGAACCTTTGAATCAACAAAATGGCGAAGAAGAAAGATACAGAGAAACCTGCATATGCTTGCAGTGACACGATTGGCTACCTTAAAGTGATGCTCTTGAGTAAACCAAAGCTCAATACGTCCAGAGAAGTTCAGAGTAAAGCTCGATCTTCGTACAACGATGAATATGGTGAAGTCTCAACCATCACACTGAAAATTACAAGGCTGAACAGCTAGGTTGCAAGCAAGAGACTAAGTTCACCTTCACCGAAAAGTACGCGGACGAGGAACTAGGGTTTTATCGCCGAGTACCAGACTTGGTGAAATTCAAGGAATTTGTTTATCCAAACAAGACTGAATCTTCATTATCCAAGTGCAACTACAACAACAACAAGAATTGCAACTCATTTTGGAAATTGATGAGAATAGCGTTTGCTACCAAGGAGTTTCCCGAGAAAAGCAATTAATACAAACGAAGTCAACACTCAGAGAATTTGATGTGAAGCTAACAGTAAAAAAAATTAGGAGCTTAACTTCGTCGTTGGAGTAAGCAAAAGGGCAAAAGGGTTAACGATAGAACAATCGCCGAGTACCATTCTGAAGAGCTACACGAATTCCCTCAATAGGAATGAGTCCAAAAACGTTGATTCAAATTCCAACTGACACTTTCCAGATTCGTCACAACCAACGTTTACTTGTTTTCTCCAACGTGCATTTCGAATATTTTAAGTAGTTTCCACATAGATGTGACCTTGCCCGCCATTCCTAGGTAACGCATATCACAGAGTGACATCATCGATTTCGATTTCCATTTCGTCTTAACCAACTCGTACCACTAATCCAAAATTTTTGATGTAGAGCCGACTCTGCCCGCGATTCCTAAGGAATGCATGTTGCAGAGCGGCATCGCCATTTCAGATCTATGGCTAGTCTTAACCAGAATTCCTCAAATCGAGATTTCTAAAACACGTCGCTGAGTATCGATACGATGTTAAAAGTCGTCTAACAAAACAAAAACGTCACCGATGAGGCACAATCCCGACAAAAATTCTTGTATTTCAACCAGAAGGTGACAATTCAAACAGAGAAAGATTTGCACAACTGGGCCGAAAGACAGCAAATCCAGAAGTCGTGACATCCAAATAATGTCATGACAGACACACTACGAGAGTTAAGGATAATCCTAAGTATGCTCTGAACAAAACCACGCTCTGATACCAATCTGACACGCCCCGACCCTGATATTCCCCGAATACTAGGACCGACACGTGCTGGCCGACACCCGGGGGTGACGAAAGCCATTAATTGATACAAAAGCTAAGAATAAGAAATAAATACAGGTTATGAATTTAAAAACAATGAATTAACAATTTAGGAACGTGTTCAGAGCATATAACTAAACCTAGTCACTAACAAGAACTAAGATAAGATTGAATGAACAAATGAGTGGGTCCTACCCCGAGAGGACTCGAAGATGCCGCTGCGGAAGTACCTTGATGCCGGGGTTATGTGCCTTCATCCTAAGTCCTGAATGGGGGGCGCAAAACAAGGGTGAGTGGACCAAGTTTATATACATACATAGTACGAAAACAGTTACGAACATACTAACCCCCACAGTTTAATAATGAAAACTACTAGAATAATAAGTGATAAGCTTTTCAAGAAAACTTTAGCATGCCATAAAACAATTCATATATCCATCTGCAAATCAATCTCAGAAAATCATATCAGAAATTATCTCAGCAATCATGTCAGGAAGCATAACACAAGTTGTGCTGCTAGTGAGTGCACTGAATAACAATACTCCCGGCCCAATGCCTGCACCTCAGTCTCTGTGCCCGTAGCCAGAGATATCTCCCTCCCGGCCCAATGCCTGTCTCCGTGTCCCTCAGCCTTTCGCTAGGGATTATTTCTCCCGGCCTCAATGCCAACACCAGATCCTCGCCCCAGGTGGCATAGTGTTCACTAGGTACGCACAAAACATAATTCATCTCTAAAATACAACTTCGTAGCATAATTTCATCGATCCTCAAATCAAATAATTCTGGAAGGCATGCTATTAAATTATGCAATTCTATCAATAAAACATGCAATTTTCGAAGGTGGTCCACTCACAAATACTCCGTCAAAAGCTGCGCCACTAGCGAAGACAGAAACGTTGCGATGATTGCCCCTAAGTACAAGAACGTACAGTTAATCAAACTACCCAACAATATAATTCTAGGAAATGGAAATGGGCCTTGGATTTGGATAGGTTAGGATCAAGAGGTGGTTTGGGCTTGAGCCCAACCCATACTTATCAACACACACACACATGCAAAGCATGCACTGCTCACACACACTCACAGTTGGCATACACACACACGGACACACACACACACTTGTACACACACACACCTACGAACTCGTCGGAGTTCGTCGTCGGAACCGGGTTTTTGGCATAGAGAAAAGGTAAGGTCAAAACCCTCGATTTTGACCTTAAAACCAACACAAATAACATGATTAACCCCAGAAATTTGAAAAAGGAACACAATCTTTACCTGGGTTGGAGTTTTAGAGCTTTGAAGCTCTCGGCTTCAATGACAGAAAAACCCACGGTGCTCAGATGGTGCATGCAAGGGTACCATTGAGTTCGTCAGGTCTCAAGGATTCCAAATATATGGTTTTTGGGGTTTGATTTGTGAAGGAAGTGAGGTGAAAGTTAGAGAGAATCTCTCGGAGCTTAGAGAGTGTGAGAGTTTTTTAGAGTTAGAGAGAGAAGAAACAGAAAAAGAGAGAGGTTCTGAGATGTGTTTCGGGAAGAGAGGGAAGAAGGGAGAGATCTGAGAGCTGCCACATGGCAGTCTAAGAGAGACAACATTTCTAGATCAAAGGTTAGGATTAAAAGAGAATAAGGGACTAAATTGATAGATAACAAATATGTTCTAGGGGAAAAATAGAAATAAGATGAAAAATGGGGGTGGGGTTTAACAAGAAAGCACATGAATCGTACTGTTCAATCACCCACTTCCCACACGCAACAGTAGCTCATGGGTACCACAGATAACTTTGCCAAAGTTCTCTGACAAGGTTGAGACACGTGAAGATTGCAGCTCCCACTACATCGCTCTGACCAAGAAGGGTAAAAGAATAGCAAAGAAACAACACTAACAAAGTTTAGACACATAAATTTTGAAGGTCTAGCTACCATATTATTACCCACAAAGGTAAAGGAACAGTACCACTGCTGAATAATTGGAAAGTCCATGTGTGTCAACCTCTGTGCTTCGTGGCAAGGTAGACTAGCAAACATGCCCAACCTTTACTCACATTCGAGAAAACACTCCCAACAAGATTGCTTGCTCCAAAATCGAAGAGGCACCGCCCTCCGAATCTCGAGAGCCAGATTCCCAACATGATTACTTTCTCAAAAATCGAAGAGAGGTTAAAGGAACAGTACCACTGCTGGATAATTGGAAAGTCCCTGTGTGTCAACCTCTGTGCTTCGTGGCAAGGTAGACTAGCAAACATGCCCAACCTTTACTCACATTCGAGAAAAAACTCCCAACAAGATTGCTTGCTCCAAAATCGAAGAGGCACCGCCCTCCGAATCTCGAGAGCCAGACTCCCAACATGATTACTTTCTCAAAAATCGAAGAGACACCACTCTCCGAATCTCGAGAGCCAGACCCCCAGCAGGATTGCTTTCTCAAAAATCGAAGAGGCATCGTTCTCCGAATCTCGAGAGTCAGATCCCCGACAGGATTGCTTGTTCGAAAACCGAAGAGGCACCACTTTCCCAACTTCAAGAGCTGGATCTCCTTGGATAAAGCTTGTCTGTAATCTTCACACGCAACATCAGCTTTCCAGATACCACAGACCACTTTTTCAAACTGCTCTGACAGAGTTAAAACATGTGAAGCTGGCAGCTCCCACTACCGTACTATGACCAAGCAGGGTAAAGGAATAGCATTATTACTTGATGTTAGGGAGACTCCTATATGTGTCGACCTCCATCCCCAACGGACAGGCAGACATGCAAAAATGCTCAACCCTTCCTCTTATCTGAGAGGGCATTCCCAACGAAGCCTTTCGAAATATTCAGCTTTCTTTCCCCCCGATAATACCTCTGTAAACAAGCTATACTAGAGCAAGAATATCTCATATCATCAGGGTTAAAAGCAAGAGTATCCCATATCATGCTTTTTCCCTATCTTTTCCTTTGGCCTTGTTCTTACCTGCAAGACAAGGAGAAAGAGAGTAATCAGTCAACACTTGGAATCAAGCTTCCAGCCAGGAACTGACTGCCTGGAACCCCTTACCTGATTACTTACCTGGCATTGTTCTCGAGTACTCATCTTCAACATCTTATGCTTCTAGGGAAGATACCGCATCTGCTTGAGGAACAGATAGGGCAAGTGAGAAGGATACAAGGAAGCATGTGGAGACAAGCGTAACAGCACACGTGCCGATACATCCACTACTCTGTCAAAAGCAAAAGTATCCCATATCATATCAGCAGGGTCGAACGTACACTAGATTTGATGGACTTGTTTTGACCCTCAAATTCTTTAGTCGGCTTTATACTCTGGAGGAAACCAGAAAACCCTCCAGCCCAGTTCAAGAATAAGCCTGTGAAAAGTTACTTCTTCAAAAGCAAAAGTATCCCATATCATCTCTTCTCATTTTTCTTCTCTTTATCCTTCATGCTGCCTGCAAGATAGGGAGAATGTGAACAATTAGCCGGAGCTCTGATTGCTTACCTTGTCTGTCACCTCTTTCAGCAGATCCCCTAGCTCGGCGACTTGGGGGACTCCTACTACATGGTTTGTATCGCGCTTGACCAAGCCTGAAACTACAAGTAAGCTTCAAGTGAAATTGATACATTACCTTGTGCATCTCCACCAGTTACAGATACCACCCCTGGATGAAGGAAGAGTACTTCCAGAGAAGATGCCACATCTACCTATGAGATAGATAAGGCAAGTCAAGACGATACCACACTCCGGTACTTAGAAGTTTCGTGGTTACGAGATCATTCTCCCACAATATTTTCTAATGTCATTTGTACTAAATTATTCACTTGTACTCACTAAAGGAGAGCTTGAACCTATGTACTTGTGTAAACCCTTCACAATTAATGAGAACTCCTCTATTCCGTGGACGTAACCAATCTGGGTGAACCACGTACATCTTGTGTTTGCTCTCCTATCTCTATCCATTTATATACTTATCCACACTAATGACCGGAGCAATCTAGTGAAGATCACAAAAAGTGACCGTTTTCGCCGTCGTAGGCCACTGAAGCTCAAGGGAAAATTTTATAGGACGGCAATAAGGCCAGCGATGTTGTATGGCACATAATGTTAGGCGGTGAAGCATCAACACGTACACAAAATGCGTGTAGCGGAGATGAGGATGCTTCGTGGGATGTATGGGCACACGAGAAATGATAAGATTGGGAATGAGGATATCCGAGGTAAAGTAGGAGTAGCCAAAATTGAAGGAAATATGAGAGAAAATCGGTTCCGGTGGTTTGGACATGTGCAAAGAAGGCCTACTGACGCTCCGGTTCGAAAATGTGACTACGGGATAGAGGTTCAGGGCCGAAGGGGTAGAGGAAGACCTAGGAAAACTTTGGAAGAGACCCTAAGAAAAGACTTGTACTTGGATCTAACGGAGGACATGACACAAAACCGAGCGCAATGGCGTTTTAGGATTCATATAGCCGACCCCACTTAGTGGGAAAAGGCTTTGTTGTTGTTGTTGTTGTATTGCTCTCTGCTTTTCTCTCGTGGTCTCCCTTTCCCCATTTTGAGAACCAGTAAATTCTCTAGCACCCATTTCCTAAACAAGTATAGACTCTGCTGTGTTCATCAAATTGATGCCTATGGTTGTTTCAAGTCTGATCTCTAGCATGTCTTGTAAAATTGCTAATCATGTTCTCTCCAAATTTTACCAGTTAGATTTTTTGGAATGCAGAATTTCAATGGGAATTTTTATTTGGAACTTATAATGTCATATTTCATATAGGCGTACTATGGGCTTGCACCAGGCTGTTGGTCTTTGCATGGAACATTGCCTTTCGGCAGAGCTAACAGGAGACGATGCTTGGTTCAAGACTTTTGTCAGGAGGCACCGCATGTTTACCAGGACTTGCAGGTGTCAGTCAATTGTGAGTAAATTTTCCATGTCTTAATGTTATAAATAATGGAATATGAATTGGGAATCATACTAATCTTCTGGGCCAACAAAGTTTATCATCTTTCTCTGTCAATATTTTTTTTCTTTTCGGGAAGGTTAGAGAAGGAATTACACGGACTTCTCCCTCCATCTGTGCCTAATGGAATAACAGTCGTTCCCCCTCCATATGGTGCAGATACAGCATGGTTTGGGGCCAAAACGATCAGCAATGTAAGCTCTGTCACTATCTGTATCGAAGTATTATGACTTGCAACTCGAACATACATTGACATTGCAAAACATCTTTAAAAAAAACAGGGTGTTTGAAGAACATATAGATTTCTTTGACTATATATAACCTTATGTTTTACAATTTTCATGTTGCAAGTCATCCATACACTTTTAGAGCAATATCAGATATCCGGCTTTCTCCGAGTGACTTGTGGAGTAAGTTTTACGGCAGAGTTTCACGTTTTGCTTGCTGTAATTTACCTGAAAATAATGCAGCTGAGCACCTTCCCCGGCCCTTGGTGCATGACAAAGAAGCAGTTCCGACAAGTCCAAAATCAAGCTTATGTGGTGAAAAATAATCTGGTTTGTATTGGAGCACTGCCGTAGCCTGTATGTGATATGATGTTGGATCAAACAGCACTGCCGGAGCCTGCATGTGATTCGAGCAGCGAGTTTCTTTTCAGGAACACGTTGAAATTGGAATTTTTTATTTCTACTATAATCATCCTTGAATAAGAAGAATTCGACGATGTATCTATAATCTTACGATAACTTTTATAAATAAAGCAAGTTCATATTTCACGTTGAAGGAATGGAATGTTTTGTCTGGACCACACGGTAAGATAAGAATCTGTTTAATTTCATTGTACGATAACACAAATAATTTTTTTGTTTCCCAACACATTCTTCAGGAGAACATTTCCCTTTAAAATATTTAAAGAAGAAGATAACACTTTGTTCGTTGTGATGGTTAAATTTGGAATCAAACTAACACGGCATGCTGAAAAATACAAGTCCAACATAGTGGTTTCAGCTGTTGAGTTCTAACGTGCAAGTTTCACGAGTTTGGTTCTTACAAAATATTATTACTAAAACTGTTAAACTCACACCGTTACGTAAATAATGTAACGGGAATCAAATGCAAGCACAAAAAAACTAGGGAAGGCCTAAGGATATGCTTTCATTTGTACTTGAAGTAAGAATGTATACCAAAAGCAAGTTCGAAGAAAGAAAGAATGGATGGAGTAGCATGGTGGAAAGGGATTCCGTAGACTGCAAATAAAGGAACTTGAAATTGTTATGATATAAAGCAAAAGAAAGTGCAAGTTATTCTTCCTTCAATTTTCAGTCCGGATTTGTTAGCGAGCCATCTCTCATCTCTCTACTTCCCTACTTTCATTCCATGTAAGTTTTTTACTATGAAAAATCCAAGGGCTTATTTGAAAGTGCTTTTGAAATAACCGAAAGCACTTTGATGAGAGTGTTTAACCAATTCTTATATGCCAATTGCCCAAACTGTCTTTAAACATTCTTTAAGCACTCCTTCATCACTTTCTACTACAGCAGAGCAGGTGTTTCTCCATCTTCAAGAACAACAAGTCTCCATCTTTAAGAACAACAAGTACCGTGTGAATTTTCCTTTAAAGGTATTGTGTTTTTACTCCTTATCCAAATCTGCATGTCCTAAATATGAATCTATATCTATATCTTGTCCATTTTTTAATTTGCCTCTCTGCTTACTCTTTGTGCTGGATTCTTTGGTCCATTTGTATTCTTGATGCTAAACCCTAAATCCATTAAGAATTTGAGAATTGATACAATCTTATACTTTTTTTAGAGAATTGATACAGCCCTTCATAAAAAAGAAGAAATAAATAAAATTACAGCTTAGTCCAAACCCCTATGGGATTTATTTCTTTGTGCATGTCAAGAAATTCTGCATTTCCATCATGTAATTATTATCCCACAAAGTTACAAACCATGCTTAGGACATGTCTCTGAGCTTGTCACTAGGAAAGAAACCATAATGTTCGATTCAGTAAATACTAAGAGCTTTGAAAAAATTCAGTGAAACGAGAAAACTATAATTTCTCCAACTTTTTTTCTTAACAAGTTTCACTTTTTACAGTTGGACGGTTGACATTGGTTACTTCACTTCACTCTTTCAATCTTGATATCTTCTTTCTCTTGAAGAAGCTGTTAATATACACTCTCCTAAAGAAATTATTCCTTCAATTTCAGTCCGGATTTGTTAGCGAGCCATCTCTCCTCCCTCTACTTCCATACTTCCATTCATGTAAGTGTTTTTTGCCATGGGTAGTCTATTTTATTTTATATAATTTACAATTTGAAATAATATGGATGAATTCTTGCTTATTCAAATTTGCATGGATAATATTTAGGCTATCAGTTGCATTTTTTCTTCTAATGTTGGAAAATATCCAAAAATCGATTGACCTATATGATAATGAAAGGTCTTGTTTCAACCGCTTTTACGGGCTTATGGGAAGTACTTTTGGTATGTTTAGTGCTTATTAGTTATTATATGAGTAAAAGCATTTTGTTTGACAAAAAATGGATATACGTTAGTTGAATATAGGAAGCACTTGAAAAATCGGGGTTTCAACAACATAAAGAAGTGGGAATTGGTTGTATAGGAATCACTTATAAACACTTTTGCTAGAAGTGCGTGTATTAGAGACTTTAACGTGGAGTTTATATAAAAATAAGGGCAAAAGACTGTTTACCAACCCTTATGTTTCGTGGTTTTCAACATTTAGTACATCAAGTTTTTTTCGTCTCAGAGTCATACCTAAAGTGTAAATTTTGGGACAGTCTCATACATCCGTTAGTCAAACTATTAAGTCTGCCGTTAACAGTGACGTGGCGCCCATGTGGACAATGACTAGGCGCCACGTGTCATTCACGTGGAAATTTAAAAAAAATAAATATATATATTATAAAATAATAAATAAATAAATTTAAAAAAAAAACTCTTTTTTTTTCTTCTTCTTCCTCCTTCCTTTTCCTTCTTCTTCTTCTTCCTTCTTCTTCCGCTGAATCTGGGTAGCAGATTCGTTTTTTTTTTTTTTTTTTTTCTTTCTTCTTCCTTCTTCCTTCTCCTTCTTCCGAATCTGCCCATTTTTTTTTCTTCTTCCTCTTTCTTCTTGTTCCTTCTTCTTCCTCCTTCTTCCTTCTTCTTCTTCTTCTTCTTCTTCTTCTTCGAATCTGCCCAGTTTTTTTTTTTTTTCTTTTCCTTCCTTCCTTCCTTCTTCCTTCTTCCTTCTTCTTCCTTCTTCTTCTTCTCTCCTTCTTCTTCGAATCTGCCCAGTTTTTTTTTTTTTCCTTTCTTCTTCCTTCTTCCTTCTCATTCTTCCGAATCTGCCCATTTTGTTTTCTTCTTCTTCCTCCTTCTTCTTCTTCCTTCTCCTTCTTCTTCCTTCTTTTTCCTCCTTCTTCCTTTTCCTTCTTCTTCTTCTTCTTCTTCTTCTTCGAATCTGCCCAATTTTTTTTTTCTTCTTCCTCCTTCTTCCTCCTTCCTTCTCCTTCTTCCTCCGTCCTTCTCCTTCTTCTTCTTCCTTCTTCTTCCTCCTTCTTCCTTCTCCTTCTTCTTCGAATCTGCCCAGTTTTTTTTTTCCTTTCTTCTTCCTTCTTCCTTCTCATTCTTCTGAATCTGCCCATTTTTTTTTTCTTCTTCTTCCTCCTTCTTCTTCTTCCTTCTCCTTCTTCTTCCTTCTTTTTCCTCCTTCTTCCTTTTCCTTCTTCTTCTTCTTCTTCTTCTTCTTCGAATCTGCCCAGTTTTTTTTTTTTTTCCTTCTTCCTCCTTCTTCCTCCTTCATTCTCCTTCTTCTTCTTCTTCCTTCTTCTTCCTCCTTCTTCCTTCTCCTTCTTCTTCGAATCTGCCCAGTTTTTTTTTTTTCTTCTTCCTCTTTCCTTCTCCTTCTTCTTCTTCTTCTTCGAATTTGCCCAGTTTTTTTTTTTCTTTCTTCTTCTTCTTCCTCCTTCCTTCTTCTTCCTCCTTCTTCCTTCTCCTTCTTCTTCGAATCTGCCCAGTTTTTTTTTTCTTCTTCCTCTTTCCTTCTCCTTCTTCTTCTTCTTCTTCGAATCTGCCCAGTTTTTTTCTTTTTTTCTTCTTCCTCCTTCCTCCTTCTCCTTCTTCGAATCTGCCCAATTTTTTTCTTTTTTTTCTTCTTCCTCCTTCCTCCTTCTCCTTCTTCTTCTTCTTCTTCCTTCTCCTTCTTCTTCTTCTTCTTCGAATCTGCCCAGTTTTTTTCCTTTTTTTGTTCTTCTTCCTCCTTCCTTCTCCTTCTTCTTCTTCTTCCTTTTTCTTCCTCCTTCTTCCCTCTCCTTCTTCTTCTTCTTCTTCTTCTTCTTCCGAATCTGCCCAGATTCGTTTTTTTTTTTTTTATATAATATATATATTTTTTTTTTTTTTTTTAATTTCCACGTGGATGACACGTGGCGCCCAGTCATTGGCCACATGGATGCCACGTCACAGTTAACGGCTGACTTAACAGTTTGACTAACGGATGTATGAGACTGTCCCAAAATTTACACTTTAGGTATGACTCTGGGACGAAAAAAAATTGATGCACTAAATGTTGAAAACCACGAAACATGAGGGTAGTAAACAGTCTTTTACCCTAAAAATAAATAAACCAAGTGCTTATTGAAAAAGTATTTGGAAGTGCTTCTTGAAGAAGCATCTATCATGTGTTTCTTCAAAAAACACTTCTATGACTCAAAATCATTTTTTAACTCTTCTTCCAAAAACAGCCAAAAGCTCGTCATTGAAGTTTTTTTTATTGTCTCAAAACGCTTTTAACTCTTTTAGAAGCAATCACAATCCATAACATGCTCTCCTCCTATATTGAAATAAACAACCCCTATTCTTGTATGCCCGATGCCCAAACTGTCTTTATACATTCTTTAAGCTCTCTGTAATAAGTCATCACTCTACTGCAGCGGAGCATGCTTTTCTCCATCTTCAAGAACAATAAGTCTCGTGTGAATTTTCCTTTAAAGGTATTGTCTTTTTACTCCTTATCCAAATCTACGTGTCCTTAATATGAATTTGTATCTGTATTTTGTCCTTTTTTTTATTTGCCTTTTCTCTGTTTACTCTTTGCGCTGGATTCTTTGGTCCTAAATCCATTGGGAATTTGATAGTTGATACGATCTACACATTTATGGGGGAATTGATACAACCTTTCATAAAAGGGAGTTTTAACAAAAAATCTACAATACTGTTCACTTTAACGAAAACCCATATTTTTACACTAAAAAGTCAAACCAATCCATAACATGCTCTCCTCCTATATTGAAATAAACAACCCCTATTCTTGTATGCCCGATGCCCAAACTGTCTTTATACATTCTTTAAGCTCTCTGTAATAAGTCATCACTCTACTGCAGCGGAGCATGCTTTTCTCCATCTTCAAGAACAATAAGTCTCGTGTGAATTTTCCTTTAAAGGTATTGTCTTTTTACTCCTTATCCAAATCTACGTGTCCTTAATATGAATTTGTATCTGTATTTTGTCCTTTTTTTTATTTGCCTTTTCTCTGTTTACTCTTTGCGCTGGATTCTTTGGTCCTAAATCCATTGGGAATTTGATAGTTGATACGATCTACACATTTATGGGGGAATTGATACAACCTTTCATAAAAGGGAGTTTTAACAAAAAATCTACAATACTGTTCACTTTAACGAAAACCCATATTTTTACACTAAAAAGTCAAACCTGATTCTATTCACTTTACCCTTTATTTTGTCATTATCGTTAAAACTCAAAGTTTTCAAGCGATTTTCATTAGTTTTCCTTTCATAAAAAGGAAAAAAATTAAATTAAATTAAAGCTTAGTCCAAGTCCCTATAACTTAAGGGGTTAGAGCATCTTTAAATGAGATGTCAAAATTTCTACATAGATATATATAGTAAAAAATAGCAGTAAATTTTCTCCAACCAAGCTTTCAATTTCTTACGTGGCGCTGAGTCAATTGAAGGCAAATCCTTTTGTTGTCAAATTTGTCAAATTTATTAAATGATTTTTAATAGATTAATATAATATATACTAAATGTTGTGTTTTTAAGTATTTGGTTGGTTGCCTCAATTATTGGATCCCACAAAAATATAACTTTTTTTATTAAATGACATTACTATTTGACATATTGGGTGGAGCAAAATATTGTACAAAATATCAAATTGCCACATAAGCCATCAAATATCATTTCGATGTTTAAAATTTGACATCTCATTTGGAGATACTCTTAAGTGCTTGATTTAAGGGCTTGAATTAAGTCCTCATGCTGCAGTGACTCTTTTTCAAATATTAGAGTTGTTCAAAAGTGCTTGAAAGACGAGGGTAGAGGCCTTAGCAAGATGATAGCTATATCATCATCTTTGTAAGTTTCTTCGGCCTTTTGAAAATTTGCTAAGCAATTCTAGAACTTGCATACATGATCTTCAATATCACCTCCTTCTTCCAGACAAAGACCAAATAGTTCAGTCTTGAGAAACGGTTTATTAGACACGGTTTTGCCCATATAAACCTTCTCCAACTTCTTGTATTCTTCCTTAAAGTCATCTTTTCTATAACGTGGGACTTGACTGATTTCGTGAGATAAATCTCGATGAAACTCTTGGCCTTCTTGAGAATATGGGTCCACGTCGTTTCTGTCATGGTTGTAGGCTTCTCACCAAGGAGTGCATCATCCAAATCATGAGGTATCAATACATTCTTCATCATCCTTTGCCAATCCGTGAAGTCATCCTTGCCATCAAAATGCTTTAATGCAGGCCTTAAGCTTCCTAAGCCTGCTACCTTCATTCCTCTTGCCATCGTAGAACACCTTGTCACAAGCTCTTGATACCAATTATAAAATTTCAGCTACCCTCTAGATTATGTTCTTTGATGTATCCGGCAGTAGACTAAACTCAGCAAATAGAGAACAACTAGAAACACACAATATTTACACTAGTTCAGCAGAACTTTTGCCTACGTCTAGTTGTGATTTTTCTAGATACAGAAATCACGGCTTGTTTAATTAATAATAAAGTATACAATACTTCTACTTCTGGCCGCACCCTATTTGAAAGTACAGGGTGCTATTTACATGCCTATCTTCCAATTAAGTCTTTTAATCTATTTGTAATAGGAAAGCACACTTGCATTCGTATTCCATTTCTGCTTTTAGGATTCCTAATCTAATTGTACAAAAAAACTTTATTCTTTATTAATCTTTGTAAGACAATAATTTGTGCATCTTTAGCTTTTCTACTACAATCCTAAACAAAATAGGACTCTAAACTGACGAGCAAAATCCTAACAGGCTTTACAAAGTGTGTTTCAAAACATGGGTGTCCCCTGATCCTAATTCTATGTATAACGAATCATGTTTGCATAAACCATCTTGTTATGATTTCAATGGAAGTCGGTAAGGAAATGGCTGGCTCTTATTTTTGGCGAAAAAAAGTGTTACAAATTTATGTGCAAAAACAAAAGAACATCTTACTCAAACAATCTCGAGACCAATTCAATTACTATGCTCAGGACATATCTCTGAGCTTGTAACTAGGACATAAATCATAATTTTTTATTCAGTAAATACTAAAAGCTTTGAGAAAATGCGGTGAGACAACAAAACTAGAATTTCTGTAACTTTTTCTTAACGAGTTTCACTTTTTGCAGTTCGATAATTGACATTGCTCAAGCTTCCCCGTAACATTTGCTTGCTTGTTCTTGGAGTTGATACCTTCATTTCTCCTGAAGAAGCTATTAATATACACTATCCTGAAGAAGTTCTTATAAGCTATGTCATTGGGAGAGGTCTTTATTTCTGGGTTACTTCAAGTGTTACTTGAAAGGTTGACATCTTGTGAGACGCTGAGCTACTTTAGACGCCTACTTGGCGTTGGCAAAGAGCTGAACAAATGGAAGTCAATGTTGTCTACTATTCGAGAAGTGCTGAATGACGCGGAGGACAAGCAATTGACGGACCAAGCAGTGAAATTGTGGCTGGATGATCTCACAGACTTGGCCTATGATGTGGAAGACATATTGGACAAGTTTTCAACAGAGATGTTGCGACGCCAAATGAAGGATCAACATGGGGCTACCACAAACAAGGCATGGGGTTTGTTTTCAGATGTTAAATTTAGCTGTAACCTGAGCTCAAAAATAAAGAAGATTACTGATCGGCAACATGAGATATTGGAAGTAAAAAAACAGCTTGGTTTAAATGAGGGGACACCATCTACTAAAGCATGGCACGTGCCACCGAGTTCCCACCTACCAGAAGGACCTGTGATTGGAAGGGATACAGACAAGACGAAGATTATTGACTTCTTGTTAAAAGAAGCACCCAATGCCGTCAACTTTCATGTAGTTGCCATTCTCGGTATGCCTGGAGTGGGAAAGACTACACTTGCAAGACATGTTTATGATGATGACGCGACAAAAGAGTTTAACCGAAAAGTATGGGTATCTGTGTCGGATGACTTCAATCTTGAAAGAGTGACAAAGGCAATTCTTGAATCCGCCACATCTGGTCTTGCAAAGGAGTACAAGGAATTCAACCAGGTTCAAGAAAGTTTGAGTAAGGAGCTAGCAGGAAAAAAGTTTCTAATTGTTTTAGACGATGTTTGGAATACATGTGTCTATGATTTGTGGATAAAATTACAGTCCCCCTTCCGTGTTGGAGCATTAGGAAGTAAGATAATTGTGACAACACGTGATGCAAATGTTGCAAACATGATGGGATCCACTGTTTATCAATTGGATTGCATGACAAATGATCAATGTTGGGAAGTCTTTAAGCAACATTCCCGATTGGACATTACCAAAAGGCCGCAGAAGTTTGAGTTCATAAAGGAGACAATTGTTGCAAAATGTTGCGGATTGCCATTGGCTGCAAGGACTCTTGGTGGTCTTCTACGCTGTAAACAAGTAGAAGAATGGGAGGAAATCTTAAACAACAAGATGTGGAGTCTATCAGACAATAGTGGCATTCTCCCAGTATTAAAATTGAGCTATCACTATCTCCCTTCGAGTTTGAAACGGTGTTTCGCCTATTGTTCCCTACTTCCAAATGACTATGAGTTCGGGGAGAAGCAGTTGATCCTTCTGTGGATGGCAGAAGGTTTGATTCAACAAAGAGTAGAGGACAAGAAACAACTGGAAGAAGTAGGCTGTGACTATTTTCAAGAGCTATTGTCCAGGTCATTATTTCAAAAGGGAAGCAAAAGTAATGATAAGTATGTAATGCATGACCTTGTTGGTGATTTGGCGTGGTGGGCTGCAGGTGAAATATGTTTTTTATTGGAGGACAAAGGAAATGGGGACTTGCATCCAGCGGCTCGTCATATGTCTTATGTCAGTGGTACGTATGATGGGGTTAAGAAATTTGAGGCCATATCCAGAGTTAAACATTTGAGGACATTCATGCCATTTGCACAAGATTTATCTCGGTTTCCAGTAATTGAACCGAACTATCTAACTCGTAGGGTTACGTTTGATCTATTGCCAGAACTACGAATCTTACGAGTGCTTTCTTTGGATGGCTATGGAATAACTGAGCTGCCCAATTCAATTGGTAAATTGTGGAATCTACGGTATCTGGACCTTTCTTATACTGAGATAAAGAGTTTGCCTCCATCAACAACCACTCTTTGCAATCTGCAAACATTTTTATTAGAAGGTTGTTCTAAATTGAAGGCATTGCCCGCAAACATGAGTAATTTAATTAGTTTGCGGCATCTCAACAGTTCCATTCGATTGAAAGGAATGCCTCCACATCTAGGTCGATTGACGAATCTGCAATCCTTGTCATATTTTGTGGTAGGCAAAAGTAGTGATCAGTCTAAGATAAGAGAGATAGGGTCCCTATTGCATCTCCGAGGGACATTGTGGCTCTCAAGATTGGAAAATGTGGTTGATGCTGAGGATGCTAGTGGGGCCAAGTTAAGACACAAGGAGAAGCTTGATTCATTGAAGCTGGAATGGTCTGATTTGAGGGGATGGAGGGAAATGGAGTTGGGCGTGCTTGACATGTTACAACCTCCTAAAAATCTTAAAGAGCTCACCATTTTTGGTTATGGTGGATCTAATTTTTCATCATGGATTGGAGATCCTCTGTTCACTAACATGGTCCGTGTATGCTTATCCTATTGTGAAAATTGTCATATATTGCCACCGGTTGGACAGTTGCGTTGCCTTAAAGAACTTCATATCATGGGAATGACTGCTGTGAAAATCGTTGGTCCCGAATTCTATGGAAAGGGTAGCTTGCCTTTTCGAGTATTAGAGATTCTCAAGTTTTCGGAGATGGAGCACTGGGAGAAATGGCTGCCTTTGGATCGGGATAAGGGAAGTGGTGTTTTCCCTAGCCTAAAAGTGTTTTCAATCAGATACTGCCCTAAACTGGAGGGCGAGTTGCCGAAGAAACTTAATTCGTTAGCAAAGCTTCAGATTGTTGGATGCAAGGAATTGGTGGTGGAAATTGCCAATTATGAACACGCAAGTGAACTAAGCATCCATGGCTGCAAAGCGCTAGTGCATACTAGTGCAGAGGTCGACTTTAAGTTATTACAGACCATGTGGCTTTCAAATATTTTGGAGCCGCGGTTGGGAGCAAGGGGACTTATGAAAGGATTGGGCAAGATTAAGGAGTTGAAGATTACTGGTTGTGAGGAGTTGACGTCTTCACTGGAAAATGAGGATAGATGTTTCCCACACCTGATTTCTCTTGTTCGTTTGGTTATTAAGAGCAACTCTGCCCTTGTTGAAGATCTCGGAAAAGAATTGGAGGGGTTGCTGCAGGTTCCAATATTAGCTTGTAAGCTTGAATATCTGAAAATAAACCACTGTGGAAGTCTTTCGAAGCTGCCCAAGGGGTTGCGTCAGTTGTCGTCTCTTCAAGAACTTCACATAAATGACTGTACAAGTCTAGTTTCTTTTCCAGATGTTGGCCTGCCACCTTCTCTTAAAGTCTTGGAGATTCACTACTGTCCCTCTCTGACGTATATTGCAAAATATCAGATTCCCCAAAATCTGAAAAGAATAGAGATATGGGATTGTACAAGTTTGAAATCATTAGTGGAGGAGGAGAAGGAGCTCGTTATTTCTTGTTCATCTTCTTTTTCTGTCTCTCTTGAGCACTTGGAGATACATAATTGTGCATCTCTGACATCGTTATCACTGAGAGACCAGCTTTACAGGGCGCTTAAACACCTGCAAATACGGAATTGTGAAGGGCTAGAGTTAATAGCATCAGACCCGTTCTTCCACGACAATACTAATAATTGTCTTGAACATATTAGGATTGCCAGGTGTCGAAATCTGAAATCCTTACCGGAGGGCCTATGCCACCTCACCAATCTTCAAGCTTTAATTGTTAGGGACTGTGGAAGTCTTGTTTCCATCCCGAGACTGAGTTGGGAGAGAAGAGCCTCCAATCTTAGACAGATCCACATCATCAACTGCAAAAAATTGGAAGTGTTACCGGAAGACATTCGCAATCTCACGTCTCTTAAGGAATTGGAGATTGACTACTTGAAAGGTTTGACTTCATTTCCTCCCAACCTCACATCACTTGAAATTTCTAAACTCAAGAGTTGTAAGCGGCTATGGGAGTTGGAGTGCGGGTTGCACAAACTCTCCTCTCTTAGAAACTTGAGGATCAAAAGTGAAGATCCAAACGCGTTGTCATTTCCACCTGATGGGAAGGAGGAGATGCTGCTCCCCAAATCTCTCACTGAACTCACAATTCATGGCTTCCCAAATCTGATGAAACTCGGCCGAGGCATTCAATTCCTCACCTCTCTTCAAACTCTGCAACTATTTGATTGTCCAAAGCTAAAAAAACTCGACCGAGGCATTCAATTCCTCACCACTCTTCAGACTCTGCAACTATCTGGTTGTCCAAAGCTCGCATCCATTCCAGATGAGGGCCTGCCTCTTTCACTTGGGGAACTTGCGATCATAAGGTGTCCTCTACTAGAAGAGAGATGTCAACCTGGTAATGGACGATACTGGCCTAAAATATCCCACATTCCTTGCCTCTATATATAGATCATACGACGCTCTGAAGCTCCAGGTACTTTCAGTTTCAAACAACATCAAGAATTTTATGTTATTTAAATCAAAATGTCTAAAATGTGCTAAAAACATGGCATGTAATCCATATACAACTTTCATGTTGCAAGTTTTCCACACACTCTTTCAACATTAATTATCCGATCATATCGAGCTTTCTCCATGCAGTGGTTCGAGCAACCTGGTCCTTGGTGCGTGAGCGCGTGCGTGACACATGAACCAGTTCCGGCGCAAGTCCAGAATCGAGCTTATGCAGACACTATGGGTAAGTAACCTTCTGATAACATTCTCCCTCAGAGAGCAGAGAGAGGAACATGCTGATACTGGAATACATTTATCATTGTATTATTATCTATATTTATAACTGTGATCGTCCCAGATTATGTAAGAATTCTACCATGTACAAAATCTTTCAATAAAGTTTGAATATATACAGCTATCTTATATGTCACAATGATGAATGAATCGAATATTTTACAAGTCTTTCTCCAAACCTCAGTCGCAGCGGTAAATCCTCATTTCACCAGACATTGGTTCCAACTCTGTCAAGTGCTTGAACACAAGGTTCCCTCTCCTCAGGTCACCATGTGTCCGACAATTGCCAAGACGCACCCCATATTACCAAATTAGGCTTTTTCTTGCATTGACATGATGAGCTCTTCCGCCTCTTCCAGCCACCCCGCACAGCCTAGAGTTGAATATCAAAGTGCACAACAAACAAGACTAACAAAATAATAAGAATTTTATTAAATAAACGAGAATGCCGAAACTGCTACATAATCCTAAGAGGCTATATTGTGAATGAATTGTAATTCTATGAGCTATAAAGCATCATATATATAGAGAACTAACCTAACTCTAATAAGCAAGAAAACGAAACCCTAATACTAACCGGATAACCCCAAATTCAAACAACAAAATAATCCTAAATTCCAACACCCCCCGTTAAATTCATGGCGGTTCACGTCATGAGTTTGCCAACAAGCAGATGCGGATGCAAGCTTCTTTAGGCAGACAAGACAAGACAAGCTCCGTTAGGCAGACATGACAAGTCAAGTTCCGTTGGACGGACACGACAAGGCAAGCTCCGTTAGGCGAACACGACTAGGCAAGCAGGCAATCAAGCAAGCAAACGAACAATCCAAGCAAGCAAGCGAGCGAGTGAACAAGCAATTCCAGCAATCAACAAATTCTTATCACTCGAGTGGTCACAATTCCAAGCAGGCCAACCAACAATTCCTGCAGGCCAATAGCAGTTGCAAACATTTTGATGGATGTAATGGATAGTAGCGACAGGCTTGGTGACTAGGTGCATGAGCAGCAGCAATGCGCGGATGGGTTTCTCAGCAATGGTCGATGGATCAGGTGGTTCGAATTCAGTCAGATGTGGCGGCAGGTACTGACATGGTGGGTTCATGCAAGCTAGGTTCAACAGGAAGGCCTAAGGTAGAGACAAACTTGATCCGAGTTTGTGATTCTCGAGTCAGAGCTTCATCAAAACCCTCGTCAAACAAATTCTTTTTCTACTCTCTTTTCTTTATTTTTTCTACAACCTAAGCCAACGACAACTGAGAACAGAACAACAAACAAACAGACGAGACAGACAAATTGATACTAAACAAACACAGATTAAATCCCGAAGGATCAAACCTACTCTGACATCAAGTTGAATATCAGAGTGCGCAACGAACAAGATTAACAAAATAATAAGAATTTTATTAAACAAACGAGAATGCCGGAACGGCTACAGAATCTAAGAGGCTACATTGTGAATGAATTGTAATTCTACAAGCTACAAAACATCATATATATAAAGAACTAACATAACCCTAATAAGCAAAAAAATGAAACCCTAATACTAATGGGCTAACCCCAAATTCAAACAACAAAATAATCCATGTTTCCAACTCCAAGAAGGTCCATCATGCATCCATAATGTTCAATAGTCATGCGCCATTTGATAGAAGTACTCGTATCCCATTTCGACATGCCCCGCATGGGAACAAGCAGATAAAATGGCCAGAAAAATGACTTCCTCCGGATACATTCCATTCGTAACCATTTCATTGAACAGTTCGAAACATTTCTCAGCTTCGCCACGTATGGCAAAACCAGAAATCATAGCTCCCCAAGCAACTGTATCTTTCTGTGACATCTTCCAAAAGATTTCATAACCGTGTTCATGATAGTGTAGGCAAACACATCAGGATAAGATATTCTATTGAAAATCGCCAAGGCATGGTGAATTTGCGTAACTGTCACATAGAACTGGCGAAGCCTCCCGGCGTTTAGAGGGCGGTCAAAGAGGCCCGATACAACCAAGTATGCGCTTGTCTAACTTGTTGGAAATTGCTGCACATTTGAAGCAAAACCAGAGTGGTTGGCATTCTAACCACGATTTTCAGAGGGAAGGATGGCAAGTTGTTCTGACTGGGAAGAGATGGAGGAGTGAGAGAGCAATGGAGGGCAGCGGAGAGCGAAATGGGAGCCGCCTAAAGCGCGAAAACACGGTCAGTGGATGTAATGTTAATGGTTGTTGCAGATGCACAATAGAGTTATGCAATTATATAGAGTTACAGAAACAAAATTCCAAAGCAAACAGGTAATATGAAGATAATTGAATTTGTCCCCACATTACCAAATCCAGCTCATTTTAAACAGATCATTCAAAGCGTTCAAGGGAAGATGTAGGAGATAAAGCTCAAGAAATTGAAAAATTCTGCACTATATTATGGCTGTCAAGGTATTGCACAAAAGGACTTATAAATATGGCAAATTACAAATGCCACCCATGTTGATAATTAAATGGAATGAATCTTATAGCTCTAGCACTTGAGGAAAAACATGGATGAAAACCAGATGAATGAAAAAAATTGTAAATTTCTCACGTCATAAGAATATATTAATTGCCGGAAAAAATTTATAGTAACCGGAACAACACTAGGAAGCCCGCAGCGAGCATTAGCAATGGAGACGGATAGTGTATGGTATGAGCCCCATTTACATCATTGGCCACTGCAGATGGTGGTAATGCAGGGCATATCAGACCTTCTTTTCCGTCATGGCACTCATTGGCGAAAAGTCCAGGTGGGTAGTTTCCGTAGAGGTTGATGTAGCTGAACATAATTGAAGCGCATTCATTTGTCAAGTCATTAATCACATCTGCGTAAGGGCAAGCCAATTCCTTGAATGCATCACAACACTGTTTAGCAGGGTATTGGGGTCCTTTGCATTGGCTTGTGATAACCGTGTAGTTCAAAAACTCAAAGTTCACTGGGCAACCTGCAGATAACAGGAGCCAAAATTTCATCAGACCAAGTTATTTACCTCCTATTAAGATCTACCAAAAGGAAAAATGGGACCGAAAGATATTTTCTATGTGATGCAGAACCAAAAAGAGATTTGGTGTGACGACATAAGCTTCCAAGTTTGTATCAGAAAATCCAAAACCAACAACTTCCCATGATCCATCCTAAACATGCTTCTAGCCTTAGAGGTCTCTCAAAGGAACAAAACATAAGCTCCTCCTACCTATAATTCCCAAATCAATGGAAAAAGTAGAGAGGGGCAAGTAACACCATTTTCCAACTACCATACAGAATATGGGCAATCCAATTGTATGAAAGGCTTCAACGGGAAGTCAATACACACAGCACAATCAAGCTGCAGAATGTTTATGCATCGATTTCTTGGATTCAAATTGAGCCCGATCTCAGGCTCCTCTACTTTCCATTTTACAAACAATAGTGTTAGTGAGTTAAATTGTTAAATGTTAGGGGAAGGATATTGGTGGAGATCGAACTGGCACTAGGGTGCATAGGCATTATTGTTTCCGCCACTGCGGTAAAACGTCTCCAAAGCTCCTCTATTTTCTTTTTCCTATATGTCCGTGTTACAAAGTAAAGTAAATATCAATATATCACATCCTATGTAAGCAGAGATATGATGAGCCACCAAGCATTTACAAACATACATCATTCTATGAAGACTTACCCAATTTAATTACTAAATTTCGATTTGATTTTCGTCAATTAATTTCTCAAAACAAGTTCGACATGGACTTAACAAATCCAAAACTCAAAATTCCAGAAAAGATACAAGCCCAATCCATCACCCTCCATTAACAAATCATAGATCAAAAACAACACACACATTCGATACGCTTTCATCCTCCAACACAGTAAAATTGAAGCAAGAAAAATCAATCAAATCAATATTTTCCAAAAGTAGAAACAATCGCTTCTACACCTTTTAGCACTGGATTTCAATTGCTAGAGTGAAAATTATATGATACCAACAAAGAAAGAACAAATTTTTCAGAGAAGGCTGTGAAGGAAATCAAACCTTTCTTGGCCTGCAGCAAGTTCCGGCCAATAGAAGCCTGAGATTCAAAGACACCATCTGCAGCCACACACAAAGAAATCACCAAGTTCAGAGCTTTGCTGAATCTAAAGCTTATTTGAACCACAACCCAGCAAAATTACAACATATATAGAACTTCAGATGTTAAATCGGGCAGTACCTGAAATGAAAGTTGGTGAGGAAGAAGAAGCAGGAAGACCCAGAAAAAGGAAAAGGAAAACAATGGAAAAGCAGAAGCAGAAGCTCTGATTCAACACCATACTTTCTGGGTTTTTGGAGAGAACAAAAGAGAAACCAAGTCAGAGATCAAAGATCTCTCTTTCTTGTCAGTGGGGGAGCCACTTTCTTTTGGTTTTTCTCGGACTGCAGGTTCTCTCTGTTTTATTTATTCACTATATTCTTTTTCTGGGAAGGAAAAAAAAAAAGACATTGTTATTTATTTATTTACCATAGAATTTAGAAACAGTGAGTACAGCGGGTCCTTATCCTTCGTGCTCTATTTACTTCATTTCATCAATTGAGTTTAAAAGATCTTAGGTGGTTTGGGAGCGACGTTCTTAAAAAAAAAATACCTACGAAAAAAAATTGTGAGGGTTTTAGGTGTTTGGTAAACTGAAAAAAAAAAGTTTATTTTGGAAGCTGCTGTGAGAATAAGCTGAAATCAAAGGAAAAGGCTGAAGCTGCTATTTGCAGCTTTGGAAAACTGGTTTTTTTTTCAAAACACACAGAGCTACAGTGCTCCTTTAATGAAAAGACCCACTATCATACTATTTTTTTTTTCCAAAAGCACTTTTACAAAAAAATTTACCAAACACTCTGCTGATTTATTTCACAGCCGCTTATTCTCACAGCACAACCGCTTATTTTCACAGTAACTTTTTTTCAAAGCACAGCAATACAAAACCAGCCCTTAGTCTTGCTAAGGTTGTATGTGCTCTTTGGTCTAATATAGAGATTGGCCAACGAAATAGTTAGTTTAGTTGACAATCTTTAGGAAATTGAGCCATTTAAAATCGTTATAAAATATGAAAAGGGTAGGGTACATGTGCCATAGCTAAAACCAAGCATTTTTTCTTTTATTATTTTTAGCATTTAACTAGTGGTTTTTGTCTTTGTCGTTTTTTATTGTCAAATATTGATCTTTGATTTGCAATCATGTTACACTGAGATTTTCAACTAAAAGACTCTTACAATCCTTTGGCCAACAAAAAACTATACTTCTACAATTAAATGAATATCTAAAACTGATATATTTTACAATTTATCTTGTTCCTACAAAAGATGGTTAAGTTTACGTTCCCACTGCTTTAAAAACAAAAACACATTTTAATAGATATATCTTAACGTTGAAAGATGCCTAAAGTTCAAATCTCTCTCTCTCTCATCGATCTAAATTTTATGAAAAATGTATATTCTAAACAATTACATTCAATTTGAAGTAAAGGTACAATCCAATACCTCTCATCTTAACATATTCATATAAAATTCAAATCAATAATGTTATTTGGACGTATAAAATTGATGCTCTTATTGATATACGCTCGAATTGAAATCGACACTATCATTTTCTATGAAATGTTATCCATATTATAGAGTGTGAATAAATTGCAAGTTTTGTATGCTTGAATAATTTGTGTTCCTTTTTCTATAGTTGTATTTGGTACTTGGTGGGGTTTTGGATGTCACGTTGCTCACGAAAACGACCAATATGCTTTTATCTTAATAGAATTGCGCGTTAGCAGCAATCAGTTCCAACCAAAGTCCTGCTGTCACCACAAAGAATATAATGACCTAATTATGTTAATAGAATAATATGGTCCGCTTATTCCTACTGATTATCTTCCTCTAACAACTAATTATTTAACTCACTAATATTATTGTTTGTCAAAAAAAAAAGGTCTACCATAATCAATTTGTTACTATTATGAAAAGGATTTTAACCATTGCGTCTCATACCAATAATTGTTTCTATTTCAGCCCTTGACCAAGATCTTGCACATCTAAAAAAAATGCATAAATGAAAGTTCGAAATAGGGTAAAAATCCAACTTCATTAATATCAAAGATAGTACAAAAGAATGAAATAAATGAAAACAATCAAAATTCTGGATTCCTTGTACTGCAATTAGCTAGATCAATGAGCCTCAACTTCCAAACCATACAAAACCCTTTGGGACCAATCTAAATCTCTCAAATCTAAACTGCAGTTGTCTTCCCCTTGCATACTTGTGTAGTACACTTGTGTAAGCTTCTGAAACGTTTGCCAAGTCAGCAAACTATCAGAAGCAGCCTGATGACTCTTCCCAGCCACACGATCAACCCCAAGCTTGTTAGCCACTCTCTCTAATCCTCCATAAATCCCTCGAGAAACCCTAATCATGCTTTTGATGTCGTACACTTTTTTCCCAAAGTACATATCCATCGTGGACATGAAATCGTTAATGTCCGGCGGCAACCGTTTGTTAGTCAGAATCTTGATCAGGTACCCGAAATCGTAAGCGCTATGGAAAGTCACCCATGTCAACCGGGATATCTTGGAGAACAGCGAAGATTTATGCCACAGCAAGGAGAAGTCGGAAGAACGAATACCCTTTTCCTTGTTTTTCAAGAAATCGATTCCTTGCTTCTCAAGTAACTTAATCGAACTTATATTCTGAAGGTCACGGTCGATATCGAAGTCCCTGAAGTTGAACTCCCATATGTAGCAGATATTAGTGCCGAAACTGGGCAAGTTTCCGTTGTTATCGGAGAGTGTTAGACCTAACTGGATTATGTTGGTGTTGTCCACGTTGGCCTTCATGAGCTTGTATCTGGATGCCGGGGTTGGTAAGGGGGTGTGGACATCGGAATACTGGAAAACTGTGCCCGGGAATTCGGTGTCTATGGAGAGGAAAGGGTAGTAACGAATCATGGACTGAATTAGAGCAAACTCGGATTCCAAATTGTCCTGCCACACGGATCGAATCTCAACGTTCTTCATGGTCTTTGGTATTAGGGTTTTTGCTGAATTTTCTTGGAATGATGTTATGCTCTAATGAGGCCTGGCATAATGATATATATAGAGAGTAAGTTCATACTCCGAATCCAGGTGAAATTAGGAAATATGTAGTCTCTATTTCCTACTGGCCGACTTTGTTCCAAGAGAATGTAGGAATTCCTAGCCGAAAAGAAAGCAAATGTAATATAGAAAACCTTTTGCGCGTCTAAGTCCCTAAGTCCCGGATATTTTTGAAACCTAAAGTCAATTGTAATATAGGATTGGATTAGCTAATCCAATCCTATATTTGGTGATCGAAGGGACAATTAATCCTTACAAAATTGTGGGACTAATCATCCCGGTACTCCTATCCTAACTTACCTCTCCAGTCCTAAGTAATCTAATCCAATTCAATCATTGTCACCAAACATGACCTAAATGTCTTGTGATCGTATCATATGTAGCCTCAAATATCTTTTTCCCTCGTTCCTTCATTCTAAACATACTTTGTACTCAAATTCATACCTTTGCACTGAAGCCTTGGTTAAGACGAGTCTTTGATATATCCAAACATCCAAGGCTTGTTTTTCTTTTATTTGGTACGTTAAATCGAACTCTGAGCGAGTCTTAATCTTAACCCACTAATTTGAACTAATCTTAATCATCTTAACATCGAGACTTATCATATCCAAGTCAAAATCGCATTACCTTCTCATAAACATCAAATTGGCAGGATGCAAATGGTATTTCCCATGGTGTTCAAGAGAGACCTTTGGAATACTGCATGGGCTTATAAGACCCGAGGGTCTTTTTCTCATAACTAGAACATCAATCGATAAATGATTTACGGGCTGGTTTGGTATTGTTGTACTTTGAAAAAAAACTGATGTGAGAATAAGCGACTGTGAAATAAATCAGCAAAGTGTTTGGTAAATTTTTTTGTAAAAATGCTTTTGAAAAAAAAAAAAAAACAGTCTGATAGTGGGTCTTTTAATTAAAGGAGCACTGTAGCTCCATGTGCTTTGAAAAAAAAACCAGTTTTCCAAAGCTGCAAATAGCAGCTTCAGCTTTTTCCTTTGATTTCAGCTTATTCTCACAACAGCTTCCAAAATAAGCCCTTTTTTTTCAGTTTACCAAACATCTAAAACCCTCGCAGCTTTTTTTCATGGGTGCTTTTTTTTTAAGCACCTCACTCCCAAACCATCCATACAGTTCACCAAAAAAAGTGAGCTATTATTACCACTTCAAAAAGAGCATCATGCATTCAATATACAAATTTTCCGCTCATGTTTTTGTACAATGCATATGATAATTTTGGAAAATAAAGAGGGTGGTGCCATTTACACGCCTTTTACCTCCCGCACTTCTCTTGTTAATTCTTGTTCTTTAATAATCTTCAATACATTGCCAAAAAGGGATGTGTGGTTAGTATCACTCTAGAAAAAAACCCCTGATGCTGGCTAGTTTGTTCATTAAGCTCACAGCATTTGCCTGTGAATACAATTAACATGGAGGAACTCTAGTGATTTCAGTATTCCATCGTATACATTGCAATGGATCTGGTGTAGGAGTTTAGACCTTCAATTTCCTCCAAAAAACAAAAACACTCGATGCCGAATTGTACAAAATTGTACAAGATTTCATTAATTCCTTTTTTCTGTTTATCTCTGCACTTTTCTTTTTGTCTCAAAGCAGCATAAGGTTACACAGCTCCATATAGCTTTGTTTGAGAGACAATTTCAAAAACAAAAAAAAACAAAAAAAAAAAGATAAAAAGAAGGGGCCTTCCTGCATCATAATTCTTTAACCACGCATGTATAGCCTCTCCCGCTATGAGTTGTTACCTATTCAACAAAACGGTCTCTTCGCTGCATCAAAAAGAGCCTCACCTATGTCAGATTTGGCTCAACAAAACGAAATGAACATTAGCTCATTGATTGTAGCTACCTATAACTATATGCTTTTCTACCTTCTTATTGATCATATTTCGATGATAAAAACTCCCCATAAGACTTTCCTAATAAAGGCTTATTAGTAACCCGAAAATCAAAGTCGGTTGATTTTCAGATAAATTTAACCACGGAAGTTAAGTTTTTGCATATTGACTTACATGAAATTTAGATTCCTGTAGACTCTCCAACAACCTAGCAATCTCTAGTTGCTTTACCGCTGCAGCATGCAGCACCTGTAACGCCAACATTGAAAAGAAAATATTGTTATCTGTGCAATTGAAAGATCAATAATCAAATGGCTAAAAGCATTCAAATATAGCATACCCTTTTCGTTTGCTCGAGATCATATTCAACAGACTTAATCCTTTCCAACGAGTCCATCAGCATTCGCTCCTTTTCTAAAGGAATCGAAGCAGGCTTGTTGTTAAGCTCCTCACATACTTTTTCTAATTGCTGAAGACGCTGTAAACATGGCTGGACATAGTCTTCTTGACTCACAACTTCAGGGGATGGTAAATGACTATTTGTGTTGCTTTCCACCAAATTTGATGGGTAAATGTTGTTCTGCTTTCTCCAAAATTCAAATTGTAGAATATGAGAAAATGGTATTAGTCTGACCAGGAAAGATACCAGCTTTTTTGCTGTACGAGTGAAGTCCGTCTTCTCAATTTTGTCCTTAGTTACGTCAAACCTAAGGTTAACTGAACTACCTGAAAAGACGCATGGACTTAGGAAATAATAGTCGAAATGCATAAGCAGTGGTAATACATTTTTTAGATTTATAGAAGTCAACAAAGGAATTTAGTAAATAATAACTGGAAATAAGGTTATAATAATGTGTTACCTTCTGAATTTGATGTTGCTTCAAGAGAAATATTATGATCCTGATGACGTCGTACTCCTTGATCACTTGTTCCGGCTTTCTCAACCAGAGGAAGATCATCACAGCTGTAGTAAGCATTTGGATCTGATGCCTTGACGTGTGCAAGACAGATTAATCAATATACACACCAACATATGCAGTACATCTTTTGAACCAAACAAATCGTAAAGAAAATTAATCTTAAAACTCACTTCTTCATCAACTGCATCCAAAGGAGGAAATGCAGAACTCCTTCGTCCTAGTGAAGAACAAGGATCGTCAATATCTGACCCTGATTCTACAACTGATGTATCGCTTGTTCTACCCTGATAACAAAATTTAAAAAATAATAATAAAAGAATAAATATGTGTCACCTTTTCTGAACCAGTAATACATCAAGTACTACAAATAATAGGTCTTAACTAACCTTCAGTGGATATATTTGAATATATGAGTCAAATTTCTCCTGATCACCAGACACTCTAGAAATTTGCCTCACAAATGTTGCTTCGGCAGCGTGCAGAAGCTACAAATTAGAGACGCTGGGTTAATCTTCGGTACTCACTTCAATAAAGAGATTGAAGCCTGAAACCACTATACTACTCATTAAGAAAGTAAAATGATGATAACCTTCATTATCTCAATGTCATTCCATGGACCTTTATTAGACCTAAGGCAACCTCCTTCAGCTGAACATGTACATGATCCGCCTAGGAAGTCTGGCAACTGACTGAAAAGAGATATGTTAACAGTGAGATGACGAGCACTGTCAAGTGTAGATGAAAATATTGCAGAGTATATATAAACACACACTAAACATACCATGAATCAATGACTTCCAGTAGTTTAGACAAGGATTTGGGATCCAAAACCTGGGTTTAAGATAATTATCAGCAATCAAGGCTGCAGGATAAGGATAATACGATGCCACGGGCCTAGAGCAGTATCCTTTACCTGTATCTTTGCAATAGTCTTTACATCAAGAAATTTCTGTGCAGCTGGCCAAAGCATCTTCTTAAATCCAGGACCAGCATTGACAATGTACATTCGGTGTAGTGTCTGTATATTGCAAAGATTTAGACGCGCTTTATAAAATACAACAACAACCAAGCCTTATCCCACTAAGTGGGGTCGCTGGCTTTATAAAATAAAATAAAAATATTATCCTCTAAACCAAAAATAAATGAAAGCAAAATACTGTTCAGGTGATTTGGATACCTCGGGGTAGTAATTGGTGTCTATCTTTGACATGGCAGACAAGAGATTTGCAGCAGTTCTAGTGAAATTTTTCATGCCCTGTATTTCAAATAACATTAGTTTTCTAGTTAAAAATCAGGAAATTAGTAGTGGCAGGAAAGGAAGTACCAAAAGTGAAGGAAAAGATATAAGCATACCAAGCCTTGTACATCCAGTATAGTTGTTGTTGAACATATCTGCCTCTTTGCTGCAATTGAACAAGCAGGGAATTTCTCCTGCAGAGCTCTCTCAAACTCTTGGACATGGTACTTTAAGTATCGCTCTATACTGGTGATTTGCATTAACCTACTTGGATGAGCTTTTCCCAGTCTCTCAATGTAAACGGGTCTGCCTTCTTTATCAACCCCATGGTATCCTTGAGGGTAATATTGCAATACTTCATCAAGTTCTTCAAATTCAAAATCCTTCAAATTGATTAATTTGAGAATGAGTTAGAACTAAATCAACGAAAGAAAATTTTTATTCAAAGTTTGCACTTTGAACACGCTACAACATTCCAATTGTTAGAGCACTATTACAATTCAGATAATAATGGCTTATCTCCAAAGATGATATCCCGTTTCAAGGTCTTAGATTGATTAATTTGTGCTTCCGAATTTCCTAATTGGATGATGACCTTAAATTTTCCTAGCAGACCAAAGAATTCTCTTGTCTAAAAGATAATACATCTATAGTTACATCATCAGATAAAATAATAACCCCATTACCTCCAAAATGGTGTCTGTTCCAAATTCTTTTCTCCATTTAAGCATTTCTTCCCATAACTGGAGTGTTTTTTCAATGTTAAGGTCTCTAGCTTTCAAAAATCTACATGAGAGTCAAAAAGATAAGATCAAGTTACTATAATCCACTACATCTGAATTGTCAACTGAATTGGCCACTATGTCAATAATATGAACAGATACATTGGAGGGATATTGACTGACCTCAA